TATAACAGTCAACTGCATCTTTTTTGTTTGTTTGTTTAGCATCGCCAGCTGTTTAGTAAGCCAACAGTCCTGTAATTCCCAGTCTGTTCCAGAAAACAAACCCCTATGCTCAGCTGCGGAAACTGAGAAAAGGCACACATGATCCCCTCAACCCCCACCCCCATCAAGCCATTCTTTTTACTCCAGAGCAATTTAAAGGAAATTCAGCAGCAGCTGAAGGAATGGCACACATTCTTCACTCATGCTAATGCAAGTCGGTTAAGTCAGCTAAGGGAACCCCCCTCCCAGGCAACCAATTACGACACTATCTCCTGCTGCGCTCAATTGCTTGCAATTGTTTTGTAAATCTCTGTCACAATCAGCTCATAACATGAAGAGGCTCAAATTCAAATCGGGACCACAGACTTCAAACTGCAGTTTAAAGAAGCACCATTACCAGTTGAGTCGCTCAGGAACCTGAACCACACCCACACCACTTTTAATCTACTCAGCAAGCAATTATCACCTCTAAAATGTAGTTTTACTATTCTATACAAATTACATAATTTGCTGAAACCACAATTTACCTCAGTGTGGCAGACTTAGTACTCATTTCATTTTCCAAAAGCCAGGCTTAAAAAAAATCAGGTTTTGGGACAAAATAATTTGAAAACTATATGCTAATAAAGCATTACCCTAATGTTGTTTCTCATTTTTTTTTAACATTGCAAAGCAGGAAATAGGAGTCACATATTCAATTGTAGAAGTTTTGCAAACAATTTCGTTCAGCTGGGGCCAAACCTCACTGCCTTCGCAGCAGGTGTGGATAAAGTTGCTTTTGGCTGAAGGGGGCAAAAAAAGTTTAGGTGTTAGGAATGTGTGCACATTAAATTGCAAGTAATAGGTTTATTCCATGCTGAAAAAAAGAAGAAAGAAAACGTTTCTGCCGTGGAGCCTTCTTCAGGTACAGAAGCTCCAGGAAGAACACCTGAAGAAGGCCACATGGCCGAAATGTTGTGTATTATTTTGTCTCTTTTCAGCATGGAATAAACCTATTTCTTGTTCCTTTACAACCTACGCATACTGACGCAACTACCCATATTAAATTACACCTCATTCCAGAGATCACAGAGTATGTTGTGATTTAGGGGTAGGATTGTACATCCAAACCTAAGCCTGCCTTGAACAGTGTATGCAAATGGTGCTGCAACTTAATAAAGATTAACACAATAAAGATTTTTGCCATTAGCCAGACCAGGGTGGCTAAGATCTGCGTTTTGCACCAACAAGAGAGAAACGTAATACAAGCCCGGAGAGTTAAGTGCTCTTCCCTTAGTATCAAGTACTTATTTTTGCTCAATGTTATATTGGAAATAAGTTCTAAAAGGTTTGTAAAAAAAACTAAAACATTCATAAGCACAACGATTTAAAAACATCTGCAGCCTATATTTTTAGAACACTACAGTTGCTAAAGGTGTTTAATGCAAGTTTAATGCTGAAAGCTTACAGAAACTTACTATCCACAAGATACCTGACTAACTCATAAACTAGGTCAACTAAACTCCAGCCAACTCATGTTCTCGCCCATCAAGATGACCGTAAACATTTTTTTCCAGAAGATAATGAAAAAGGCTTCATAGCCTATGAATAATTTTACACAGATCTGGTATATTTGTTATGCATTACACATCTAAACATATAAAGGGCTTGTCATGCTACCACACAATAACCACGCACCTGCCTAGACCATATCTAAACTAATATGTTTTATAGTGGTTTATTTAGCAAAATTCCATGGGGTTAGAAATTACAAATAAGCATGTGGTTTAGACTGTCTTTAACAATTTTCATACACAACATACGGAATCACGGGTGCACAATTCTGAGAAGCTTACCAGAATGAGTGGATTGAAGTTCCTCATACATCTCAGCAGCTATAGGAAACAAAAACAGTTCTCTTTGAAATATCAGGGAAAACCTATCACAATTTTTCACTGGGCGTGTAAAACAGTTTGTGGGTAATGGGTTAAATGATGAAACACAGTAGAATACAAGCGTGCAATAAACAAAATATGCCTACAGTCAAGTACAGCAGGTTTTAAAAAAAAGTTACATTTTACCAAGCCACAGGTAAAGCTAATGCAAAGGGTTAAACCCTTCAAGTTTATTGGAGATAAGCATAATACTTAATACTTCAAAAATAAACTTTCTGCATCACTTTGTGATTTTTTATAATAAAACTATAGGGAAAGAAACACATTATCGTGACAGTGACAGCTATAAGTCTGAGCAAACCTGCGTATTAGTGTGGGTAACAGTTTTTCAAGAAAATCTGTATTGTCCCCAAAATAACTAGCAACCGCCATCTGTATAATTCCAGGTCCAAACAATCGCAAAATATGGTTTGTTTTCAAAATTCCTTAAATTTCTACATGAATTTAGTAGTAAAAGAACAGCTTAGCTTGAAACATGCTTTTAGTCTTGAATCCACAGTAGTAGGCTCAACTACTCAAATTCGTTGCTTAGAAGTGCTCACTTAAAGCAGTTCCCAGATTTGCAGATCAAACCTATTAATGGTATACAATGCAACAATTAACTCCCTTCATCCAAATGTCTGTTGTCTAGAGCAGCTTACAATTCCCAAATGACAGCAAAATATATATCACATTAAAAAAGGCTTTTAAAGTTCAATATACCACTTCTTGATTCTATCTTTAATGTAAAAGTTATGCCATAAGCATGCAGCTTTTCATCACCCAACAAGTTATACAGCAGAAAAAAAGCTATTATGCTCTACATTAAGCAATTAAACTGGATACCACTGTTCCACAAAACACTGCTGTTAAACGACTGATTTTCCTCCTTGCCATTAGGCTGTTATGATACATCAAGGATGACTATAAACAAAATCTCACCATTCCCATGCTTAATTAATGCAATAATATTGCAAAACTGCAGCAGAGCATGTATTCGGATGTTAAAATACAAGCAGATCTTCTCTGAGGACTACAGCAGCCACTGCCCAGTAGGTTTCTTATCAGACAGCATACAGCAGCTGTGCTGCCTTAGAGCTTCCAGACACACCTAATGACACAAACAAGACTAGCTAATTATGTCCGACAAAAATAACACTGAATTTACTTCAGAGTCTCAGAAAAAAATAATCTGCCACCTTGCAACCCCTACATATTGTGCTATCCCTAATCCTAATCCTATTTTTTTTTTAAAAAAGCACCTGGATAATCCATAAGTAATTTCCAACTTGCAACTTCAATGGAACACTTGGTGGGTCTTACACAGCCTGGCAATCCTTGATATCAGAAACAAACTTGCGCCATCCCTCACTGCCGGTTTTTGCTGACTTTTTCTAGCACTCACTGCAGAACTGTCCACCTTTGCATAAATATGTCACTGCAAACAGCAACAGTACTTTCAAAGGAAACAGTTCCCTGGAAATTCAAATTCAGCTCGCAACCAAAAACATCCACTGCGCCGATACTTCTGGTGTTAAAATCTGTCATTACTCACATAAATTCATCTTCTTCGAAAACGCTCACATCTCTGATCCAGCTGATTGGTAGAGACCTTTCCATCATCCATTTACTAACCTCTTCTTTCAGGTCAGGGTCGCAAGAGCCTATCCCAGCAAGCAGTGGCCACAAGGCAGGGTGCACCCTGGACAGGATGCCAGTCCAGCGCAGGCCAGACACACAAACACACACTCACATCACCCAGGGCTAGTGACAGTTCCATTACGCCACCCTTCTTTGGCTTCGTATCCTTTTGATTTTGTTGCAGGGACCCATTACTTTAGGTGCCTGGAGCATGCATACTGATATTGGGCCCTTTTAGGTTGTCAAAAATATCCGCACATATGGTAGTTCTGCAATCCACTTGTGATTTTTTAAAATAATCAACCAATGCAGAACTCCGATTCAGCGAGATCTGAACCACATCTGCTTACCAATCAAACACCCTTCTCAATAAAGATCCACAGAAGAGCCCCAGTACCTCACAAACATCCCAAGTAGAGATCCGAGCTTCAAGCATACCGTTCTAAAACAGTAAATCAACGTT